AACAATATAAGTTTTAATACTAATTAGCTGGTTTGGTATGCATAAATATAGAGATTTACATACAAAGCAATTTGTTGAGACTATACTTGGAATACTGAAGTTTGATTGTAACAACAATATAAGTTTTGATAACAAATATCTAGTTTGGTATGTACAATTGTAAAAAAATAAATACGAGGGCAATTAGTTGAGACAATATTTGGAACATTGAAAGTTAAATAGCTGGTTTGGTACGCATAGATGTGAGAAGGTACATACAAATAGTTAAAACAATAATTGAAACATTGAAGGTTCATTCGTACCAACAATATACGTTTTAATAATAAATAGCTGGTTTGGTATGCATAAATGTAGAGAAGTACATACAAAGCAATTTGTTGAGACAATATTTGGAACATTGAAAGTTAAATAGCTGGTTTGGCACGCATAAATATACAGAACAATATCAGTTGTTATAAATAGCAGGTTTGGAATGCATAAATGTAAAGAATTAAGTACAAATACAAATAGTCGAGGAAATATTTGGAACATTGAAAGTTCAATCGTACCATCAATATAAGTTTTAGTAATAAATAGCTGGTTTTGCATGTATAAATGTTGAGTACATACACAGGCGAATAGTTAAGGCAATATTTGCAACTTTGAGAGTTGTAATAATAAATTGCTGGTTTGGCACCCATAGATATAGAAAAGTACATACACAAGCAAATGGTTAAGATAATATTTGGAACATTGAAGGTTCAGTAGTACCAACAATATAAGTTGTCATAATAAATAGCTGATTTGCAAATAGTTGAGACCATATTTGGAACAATGAAAGTTCAAATATACCAACAATATAAATTGTCATAATAAAATAGCTGAAATTGGTACGCATAAATGTAAAAAAGTACATATACGAGCATATTATTAGGACAATGTTTGGAACATTGAATGTTCACTCGTGCAAACAATATAAGTTGTAATAATAAATAGCTGGTTTGCAAATAGTTATGACAATATTTGGAACAATGAAAGTTCATTCGTATCAACAATATAAATTGGCATATTGAAATAGCTGAACTTGGTATGCAGAAATGTAAAGAAGTACACACACAAGCATATGGTTAGGACAAATATTCAGAACATTGAAAGTTCAATTCGTAACAACTGTAGCCTATAAGTTTTACTACCGGTAATTAATAGCTGGTCAGGCAAGCATAAATATAAAGAAGTACATTCAAAAGCAAATAGTTAAGACAATATTGGAACATAGCAGCGTGATCATGAAAATACGAGGAATGATACAACATCAATGCTGAATGAATATTATATATTAATAAATTAGTACCCTTTGAAGGATTCTATCATCATAGTGTTAGTACTTATTAATAAGATGCTTCATGAGTTTATTCTTGAAGCTGCTATATGAGGATTCTTTGATTGAATCAGGAATATTGTTCCAGATGTTTGGACCAGCTACTTTTATAGACTTTTGTGCCAGACTAGATTTAGTCCTTTTAACAAAATAAGAACTTTTCCAGCTGAGCGAGTATTATAACTATGTACATCACTACAATTAGTGAAGTAGTTGTCAAAAGCAATGGGTAGCATACCGAATTTAAACTGAAACATGAGTTTCCCAACTTCAAATTTATACAAATCCGCAATTTTGAGAATGTTCATTTTTTTTGTAGATTGGTCCCAGACTGTGTCGAATACCGGATCCTGTCATCAACCTCAATGCACGGTTCTGAAGTACCGAATTTTTTTTGAGATAAGTACTACATGCTAATCCCCATGCCACAATTCCATATTGAAGATGCGAATGAAAAAGAGCAAAATAAACTGTTCTTAATATCTGTTTAAGGTACAAAACGTCCTAATTTAGTCATTGCACCAATAGACCTGGACAACCTGCCCGCTAGTTGGTCAATATGTATATGCCAATTTATTTTACTATCCAAAGTCACACTAAGATACTTGACCGAATTACAGGTAGTCAATACAGAATCTTTCAAGATGAATTTTGGAATAAAGCTTGAAGCTTCTGTGTTTTACTGCAGTTAATTAACATGATTTGTGTCTTTTTAGGGTTCACTGTCAGCTTATTTATAGTAAGCCAGTCAGATATATTAACTAATTCCTTATTAACTAATTGTTCCAGGCCTGCCAGATTTACGGCAGAAAATGTAGCACGGGTTTCATCAGCGAATAGGTTAATTAGAGCACTGGTGGCATTGATTATATCATTTATATGGACTAGAAAGAGCGTTGGTCCTAATACTGAGCCTTGTGGAACGCCTACAGACACACTTTCACTCCTGGATTCGGAACCGGTCAGGCAAACAAATTGACTTCTATTTTCTAAATAATTAGCAAATACTTGTTCACAACTCCACGGACACCATAATGGTTCAATTTACTAGTTAGAATGCTATGATCCACGGTATCGAAAGTTTTTTTTCAAGTCTAAAAGTATACTGCAGCCTACTAAACCCTCGTCTATAAATTATAATATTTACTAACAATGTCAAGAATGGAATGTGATGTGAAGTGGCCATTTCGAAAACCAAATTGATCAATTGTTCAGAATTGAATGTTTGTCTAGAAAAGAATTTAATCTTTTCAATAATAAATTTTCAAAGAGAATCGAAAGGCAGGATAAAATTGAGATAGGACGATAATTTGACACTTTATCCGTTTCACCAGTATTATACACAGGAACAACTTTTGCAATTTTTATAAGGATTGGAAAGATTCCTATAGACATAGAAGTGTTGAATAACCTACATAAAATTAATAGTCTTCAACAGTTTGATCATGTAAATAGGGATATGATCATGCCTCCCAGCCTTTCGCTTAGAAGAGTATCAATAGCTATTGCATTCTCAGAAGGAGTGGTATCCTCCAGAAACATGGAAGATTTATTAGGTGGATTCAGGTACTTAAAAAACTCGTTTTTATCATTACTTGAAAACGAGGAAGCGAGAGAAGATCCGATTTAGGAAAAATATTTATTGAAAAGATTACAAATGTCATCTGGATTTTGAGTTAATTTTTTGGGGTCACGTCATATAAGGAGGTGGGAGATTTCTTACTTTTCTGATTGATAATGGTATTCCAGGTCTTTTTCGAGTCATTTTTTTGTTTGTCAAATCATTTAGCATAGTAGTCATGTTTGGCCCTATTTTTAATGTGAGACAGAGTTTTAGAATACTTTTTACACTGACGCTTTTCAACATCAAAGTCATTTAAAAACAAGAGAGCTACGCCCAAATATATGGACACGTCTGTTCGCAGTACAGTACGGTATACCGTACCGTCAGATCACAGTCTACAAACATATTCACACCAAGCGAAGTTCCCAAGATCAATTTTACTTAATCATTGCAAAGAACTGAATATAGTCCCCGTGAATATTATCAATTTGCTAACAAATCCCAGAATTATTTCCTTTGTTATAGAATACGTCCTCCTAACGGGTCGAAGCATTTGAACACCCAACGCTCAATATAACAGCCCCTGTGCACAAAACTAAGCCAGTTATAAGCACCATAAAATAATAATAACATCAAGCGAAACAGTACAGTAGGACACAAAATGGCGTCCGATGTCCGCAGAACGTTTAATGACGTCATAGCAAACAAAAACAAATCTCACAGAGCTAACAGAAATATTTAAATGAATAAAAGTAATAGCCTTCTGGGGAAAAATTTTATCTTCAACCACTGACAATTTCAAAGCAATTGGTCCAGTATTCGAAGAGAAAAGTAGTTTTTTAATATTTCCTCTAGGTGTGTTATTCTGTGTCAAACAACAAGAAACACATAATATTAAAATGATCGTTATGTCCACTACGTGTCCAATAACGATTTGTGCAGTTTATCTCGAATTTTGGCGGAGTGTAACATACCTGGGGTGATCCAGGGTTTTTGCATTAACCGACGATCTTTCCTACTCAATTTTTTAAGTGGGGCGTGTTTATCAATTAAATATTCAATTTTGTTGATAAATTCATCATAAATTCAGTGCCGCCGCCCCCTCAGTGGTGGGGAAACGTGTGGAAAGCCATGCCCACGTGTTAATCCTAAAAAGTCGCTTTTCTCTTTAAATACTGGACCAATTACGCTGAAATTTTCAGTGCTTGAAGATAAAAATTTACTTTAGAAGGCTATTACTTTCATTTACTTCAAATGTCCATATATTTGAGCATAGCTCTCTTGTTTTACATATCAAGTTAATAATATGTATAATAATATCATGGTCGCTACATAATGGCCATGATATTATCGAAAAAAGTTTATTGAATCCATGAGATTATACGGTATGACCACTATTAAGTACATTCGTTAATATCTTTGCTCTGTAAATCATGGAGGTGGATTAGGATAACAAGTGGGAACATTGCAGTTCTGAAAATTTGAACTAGCAAAATGACCAACACTCATTTCGAAAGAAGAATCGAGAAGGCGCCAGTTCAAGTGCAACAATACTTCACGTAGAAACCGCAATGTCAACGAATAAACATGTAGGGCAATTTTTATCAGGAAGCTCACCACAATTACAATAAATTATCTATAGAAATATAAGAATGTAATAACGTGTAAAAAAGGATAGACTTTAAGTCGGTCTCAGCTCAGCAATATCTATGACGGGAATCATTTGCTTTTCTTGCGAAGAGGTTGTCTGGCTGTAGTAATTAAAAAATTATCTATGAAAAGCGGACACAGATGAATTTTCGAGGTCAATGAAATACGCACCAAGCTTTGCATCTTTCTCTAAATACGATCTTATTAATAAACCCTTCCATGTAGGGGGCATCACCTCACCGTTAATTACACTCAGATTCTTAGTCTCTCCAAACTTTCAATTGATAAAAATTTCAATCGTGGACTACAAAGCCATCAGCACAAACAATGATCGCTGCCGAAGATAATCACTTCAACGACTGAACGTAACACCAGCATAAGCCCGGATAGAGACAGCGCTGCAAATGTTCAGCCAAATGACTACTGCTATAGCAATAAGAAAATGGGAGCTTTTATTGATGGTTTGCACAAGATATGGTAACGCCGATATCAAATCATTACAATTACAACAAATACACACAAAATTGTCATTAGATACAACTGAATAATAACGTAGAAAAGAATGAATTTTGCATGGGTAGAAGGGCTAGAATATCATCTCAACTCAGATTGGATTTCCTTGACAGGAACCATTGACGCAGGACCTTAAATCTTTCCTTAAACGACCTTAATCAACTTCTTCCATTCTGGAGTTTTCTTCGTCACCATCACCCTCCAAGGGTGGCATGTCTTCATCATCAGCCTTTTCCTGCGATTCTGGGACATCATCTTCATCAATACCTGAATAAAAGATCAAAGTATAATCTGGTGCTCAGAAATAAATCTCTAACTAGCAAACTGGCTCAGACATCCAAGGAAGGTTTAGACAACATTAAGGTCTACGCCTTTACTGTGGAAACTGCAAATGATAGGAATGGTTATCATCATCGCCAGTTTTAATTGATTTATATACAAGAAAAGAGACTAACCCAATCCGAGCTTAATCATTCGATGAATGCGAGAGGCATGAAGAGATGGATCTTCAAGAGAGAATCCAGATGCAAGAAGAGAAGTTTCATACAACAGCATTACAAGATCCTTCACAGACCTGTATGAAAAATTGTAAATTATTAACGATGTATTTCTTATTTTGAATGTATTTCACATACATACTTGTCGTTTTTATCAGCTTCTGCTTTTTCTCTCAAGGTTTCCATGATAGGGTGATCTGGATTGATTTCGAGGTGCTTCTTGGCTGCCATGTAGCCCATTGTTGAAGAATCTCTCAAAGCTTGGGCCTTCATGATCCTTTCCATATTGGCAGACCAACCATACTGTGATGTAACAATACAGCAAGGAGACTGAACCAATCTGTTGGAGACTACAACCTGGTGTAAAGTAAAGTTGGTGATTATTAGTTATTACTTCACACAAATCCTGTAGCAAAAAATTTACTTTGAAAACAATACCATACCTTCTCGACTTTTTTGTCAAGGATTTCTTTGACGACTTTGCAGAGGTTTTCAAATTTAGCTTTGGATTCTTCAAATTTCTTCTTCTCTTCATCATCCTCGGGAAGCTGAAGACCTTCTTTTGTAACTGATACCAAGGTCTTGCCATCATATTCCTGTTCAGAGTCAAGTTAAATAAAACATAAGCTCAAAGCAACTCGGGATCAATGAAAAAATCCTCCAGACACCAGACTCGGCAGTCGCGCAAGATAATGCCAGTTGCTCAGACAGCCAAGGGTTGTATCGTCAAACATTTTCAGAAATGACTAAACCATGTCAAAGATTTATCATCATGGCAACTTTCATGGCACTGACTGGTATCGCAAACTACCAATATAAACCCCCTCACCTTGAGTTGCTGCACACAGTATTCATCGATTGGCTCCACCATGTACAAAACCTCGAAACCCCGCTTGCGAACCCTTTCAACGAACGCAGAGTTCGAAACTTGGTCTCTGGATTCGCCGGTAATATAGTAAATGTCTTTTTGATTCTCCTTCATACGAGTGGTGTAGTCCTTCAAAGAAGTCATTTCATCACCTGAAAAGGCATTCAATAACATCACTGTCCACATATACTACTAAATTAACAGAACAAGATTTGGAAGTTCAACTCACCCGATGTTGAAGAATGGTAGCGGAGGAAATCAGCAATCTTTTTTCTGTGTTGCGAATCTTCATGTATGCCGAGCTTCATGTTCTTCGAGAACTGTTCGTAGAATTTCTGGTACTGTTCTTTGTCTTCAACCAGTTCAGAGATGAGCTCCATGCACTTCTTGACAAGATTTTTACGAATGACTTTGAGGATCTTACTTTGCTGGAGTGTTTCACGAGAAATGTTCAAAGGCAGATCTTCGCTATCAACAACACCCTTCACAAAGTCTGAAATGAAAGGATTAGGAGTTAATATCAGCAAGGCGGAGTAGGCAAAAAAGCTATGCATATTGTTGAACAACTTACTCAAATATTCTGGAATGAGCTCCTCGCAGTTGTCCATAATGAAGACTCTTCTCACATACAACTTAATATTGTTTTTCATTTTCTTGTTTTCAAAAAGATCAAATGGTGCTCGCTTCGGAACAAAGAGAAGAGCTCTGAATTCCAACTGCCCTTCTACAGAAAAGTGCTGCAATGGAAAGTATGAAATGTGAAATGACAAAATACTTTTAATACAAGACCAGAATTATGACAAATTTTCAGTTCTCCAAGGTAAACCATCACAAAGACTGGAAGCCTTTATAGTTTATGAGAGTATCATCATTATGTATATAATTGATTTTTAAAAGCTCTCGAATAATACAAACCTTCACAGCGAGATGATCTTCCCAGTCGTTTGTTAGGGTTTTGTAGAATTCACCATACTCTTCCTGCGATATATCATCTGGGTTTCTCGTCCACAGTGGTTTAGTTTTGTTTAGCTCTTCTTTGTCAATGTATTTTTCCTAAACGATTGGAAGCAACAAATTGGTAAAATATTTGTCAATAATATTTTATTTAGTGATTGCGATCAACAAGTTTAGACAACTACCTTTATTTTTTTCTTCTTCTTTTTGTCTTTATCAGCTTTAGAGTCTTCGTCGTCATCATCGATATCTTCGATCTTAGGTTTATCTTCATCTCCTTCCTCTTCTTTCTTTTCTTCCTTGGATTCTTCCTCCTCTTCCTCATCATCACTAACCTATTAGTTAAAATGATGATAGGATTAAATAGTAAGAAAAGTATTTTAGACATTTTCATTTTCACGAGACACTGCAAAAATGATAAGCTGATTGGCTCAGACATCCAAGGAAGGTTTAGGCAACATTAAGGCTTACACCTTTACTGTGGAAACTGCAAATGATAGGAATATATATCATCATCGCCAATCTGCACAAACAAAATTGAAACGATTCATTATATACCTCTTTTTCACGTTCTTTTTCAACGTAAAGGGAGATTGGGTATCCGATGAACTGACTGTGCTTCTTCACTGTGTCCTTGATGGTTTTTGTCTCTAAATATTCCTTTTGATCCTCTTTCAAGGTCAAAATAATCTTTGTACCTCTGCCCATCTCTTCGCCAGAGTCTTGATAGACAACGAATGAACCACCTAAAGCACAAAAATAACTAAATTTTTTCAAATGGCTGCAAGTGCAAGGTTCGCTATGCGGCTCTGAAAAGAGCTAGGCGTTTTGGGGACAAAAACTCTGCTGTAGACATGATCTTTGGACGTAAACGTGGCCAAAGTAGTTTTTCTCTTGTAAAATGCAGGATATGGATGCCTCCCCAAGAATCTACTTTTGCACCATTTACTTTACAGCAAGATACAAAACAGTGACGTAATTAAAAAGGTTTTAGCACCCGCTGAGACACTTTTGGGACATGTTTGTAAACATCACATCGTACTTATGTGTGTTATTTGTTGGTTTTCAGATGTGTTTCGGAATTTGGGTATGATCAATTTGTCTTTGTAGGGGTTTTAGTTGAATTGTAGCCATCAAAAATTAATTTAGAAATAGATTAGTCCAAACTTTTCTACCTTACTTTAAATTGACAGTTTGTTTAATGTTTTGAATCAAACGGTGGTTCCAACTCACGAAACCATTTTTATAATGAGCCGCAAAACTTTTGCCGTGGTAAAGTATAGAAATAATTTTCTGAGGGCCACGAGGTTCGGAGAAATATCTATAATAAAATAATAATAAAAATAATCTTACCTGCAGAGGATTCCCATGCATACTGTTCATCGTCGTTATTTTTGGTAATGACTCTAACATTATCAGCAACGAGGAAAGCAGAGTAGAAACCAACACCAAATTGACCAATCATGGAAATATCAGCACCAGCCTGAACAAATTATTTTTAATCATTATTATATATTATCCATATGCTTAAACAAGAGAGTGAAATTTATGGCGATAAGAAATAAAATTAAAATCAAGGCTATATTTTTTATTATAAACATGATCACAAACCTGTAGGGCTTCCATGAAATTTTTGGTTCCAGATTTCGCAATAGTACCAAGATTGTTCACCAAATCGGCTTTGGTCATTCCAATACCAGTGTCGATGAGAGTCAATGTTCCCTCTTCCTTGTTTGGGATAATTTCAATTTTCAATTCTTTACCAGAATCCAGTTTCGATGGATCTGTCAAACTTTCATACCGGATTTTGTCCAAAGCCTGAAATATTAAATTTCACGCAAAATTAAACTGAAGTCTTTTGAAAGAATATCATATCTATCTAATTGGATTGAAAATGAAATTTTAAGGCTGGCTCAGACATCCAAGGAAGGTTTAGGCAACATTAAGGCTTACACCTTTACTGTGGAAACTGCAAATGATAGGAATGGTTATCATCATCGCCAGATGCCTGGATATGCATCAGCATTAAAAATTAAGACTTATTTATCATATTATCAAGTTTAAATTGAACAATTCAGAATTAAATAACCGTAAAATTTAAATTAAGTTACAACTAACTTAATCATAAATACAAATTACAAAATGCAAGTCGAAAAAGTTTCACTTTATTAGAAGTAAAAACAGATTAATAAATCATATCACTTGACATCATTAGAAGCTGAATAATATTTTAAATATTAGACTTACATCAGAAGAGTTGGAAATCAATTCTCTGAGAAAAATTTCCTTGTTGCTGTAGAATGTGTTAATGATCAAACTCATCAACTGAGCAATTTCAGCCTGGAAGGCAAAGGTTTCTTTTTGTTCATCTTGAACTTGAACATCATCTTTTTCTGACATTTTGATTTTCCGGTTTGACCAATATTACAAGAAATTGAATTTTTAATTTTACCAAAATGGCGTAACACCAATTTATCTGCACAATCACAAAATAATAGAAAAATTAAAAAAATATTCCTACACACTAAAGTAGGTTTGTTGAAGTAGGATCAGACTGTCACTGTGTCCTGGTGTCAGGGGATGGAACTCCGCATTCGATAAAACTAAACTCTACTAAACCCTGACCTAACAAACGTAGTACAGTAGTCACAAAGAACACAAGTTGTTATTCTTATCACTGTACTATTAGACAATTGCAACGCCCCTATATATGAAACAACTATCAGCGGGTGATCTAAATTAAATCGCAATGCCATCTGCTCGGAACAAGACCAGGCGTGCCGCACGCTGGAGCTGCCAATACCAAATGAACCCCGCAGAGAAGAGAAGGAGAAATCTCTCGGGTAAACCGTTTGGAAACACGAGGCCTATTTCCCGCACGTGTTTCACATGGTGAACGGTTGAGAGATTACAAAAAAAAAATCAATATTCATCCTCCTAACGATAAAATACAAAATCCCCTACTGTTTGATATATTCAAAAATAATGAATTAATTTAATAGATAATATTACATTTTTTAAATTTTTTACCAATTGGTATTGAATTAAGAATATAAAATTATACATAGAATTATACAAATTATACTATTTACAGGAAGCTGCGATATATTGTTGCTATACGGCGCAGTTCCAGAACGTTCGCGCTTCAGAAAATTCGAGACCGAGACAACGGAAAGACGTTTTTAGGACGGCGTGGGTGTTTGCGAAGCGTCTGTTCTGTTGCGTTCTCGCATTTTCTGAATTGTCAGTGTGATGATTTATTGTCAAGCGTGATTCATAAACCTCGAAGATTCTGGATTTCTAATGTTATAGGATTACACCATATACTAGTTTTGTAGCCTAAAAATAGTACGGTATTTTCAAGTTTTCTTCTCAAATAAAATGGGCGATATTTTCCCATTGACCATTTGCTCATGACGAGTTACCTTGGTATTCATTGTTGGGCCCCCCTATTTTGTAAAACTGATGGCTTTGTCTGCCACGTTCGCTTTACCGTCGTCATTGCTGTGTTTAGTGCACTTTTTGGTCATACGTTATTTTATCAAATGGCTACAAGGTTCGCTATGCGACTGTGAAAAGAGCTGGGCGTTTTGGGGACAAAAACACTGCTGTAGTCTGTAGACATGATCTTTAAACGTAAATGTGAATTTCTGGGGGTTACTAGGTTCGGGGAAATATCTATACAGCAAATTTACCGATTTTACTTCGGCATATTAGGTAACACTAAAAGCGAATAACTGATTATATGTCGGTTTGTGGCATGTGTTGATCGAATCCGCGTCATTAACTTGGATCAGTCGGTAAAATTTCGACCCCCCAGAAGAGAAAAAGGATTTTTCCCCCAGGAAGTTGCAGGCGTCAAAGCGCTACTGCAAAAAGTTGCACATTTAATTCGGGCGATGTATACTCAACTGTCTACTGTACTGTATTTTGAAGCCAAATCCAATATTAATGTCGATCTCGACAGTCGGGTTGCACTAGGCTCTTACGATTTTCGTGTCAGCAGAGCCATTGTTGACGCTTAGATAGAAGATTTGTTAAAATTGTGATGGTGTGATAAGCAAGTTTCTGATCCTCCTGTGAGGCTTCATCTTTTTTTACTGGCGGTACCATGGCTTACACAGATGCTGCAGATATCCCGAGATTTTGGGTAACTTAGCTGGTAGTTACGCCAGTCAAGCAACTCGAAGCGAACACAACGGAGCTGGCAACTCAACATTAAATATACCTGTGAGCGTCTGACAGACAGTATATAATTGAGCGAGCGCTGAATTTCCAACATCTTATTAGTCCGGCAGATAAGGGGACCTTCAGGGCCAAACCTTGTTTTCAGACATAAAGTTTCTTTTATTTGTGATTATTCATCTTAGGGTCATTGCCCATCATTTCTACATGGGTGTGGGGTTTGCAACCTTGAGCAATTTTTTTAGAGGAGAGTCAGCTCTCCTCTGATGGTTTGAAATTATGATACTGAAAATGTTTTTGCAAACGCTTATTGATCACGGAGTGACCATATATATTATGAATCGCTCTGCTCGATTTCAAATTTTTAGTAGGCTACATTAGCCAGAAGACTATTACTATATTTTTTTTACAAATTTTCTATTAGATCTGACATCGCCTGAAATTTCGCTGTTCATTTGTTGAGATTACCGCTTGTAGGCTACAAATCGCGAGCGCCCGTGTCGCGACTGTCTTATGTTTTGCAAACTCTGTACTCTGTACGCCAAATATAGTTTAAGTCACAATAGGCTACCTCTACTGCGGTCAATTATTAGACCTCCGTGTCCATATATCCATCTAATATATCACTTTATCTGAATACTGAACTCAAGCGCGCAGCCAGGATTTTCAAACGGGCAGGGGTTGGAATCGGAAATTTATATTGCCGTCTGTAACAGTCACCGCGATTACGCACTCAGCGGCTTTTTCAGCGTATAATGATTTTTCTGTGGCGTAAAATATTTAATCCATGAAAACAACGAGATTCTAAAATGTCTTTGTATATCAATTTAATAGACCTTATTCATTAAAAACCCATTCTACGCGCAAAAAGAAAAGTGATGTAAAATTTTTTTTTAACATTAGCTCTTATGGGGAATGTGATCACCAGAGCAGAAATTTGCATTTTTTGTAATTTTCTAGATATCTTTCAATGTAGACGTGAGCAGTTTTGAAGATAGAATATTTTTTACATCTTTTTTGATATTTTTATCATGATAAACATGGTCAAGATTTTTGATAATCGTTTATTAAAATTGTAATGAGCGCGGTGTTTCCGATGACGTCATTCTCACTAGACCATGAGATTCTGCCAACGCGCCGTGCTCTGTGGGATATGCTCTCCAAATGCAGCGCTAATGTCTCTTTGGGTACGGTACCGGTACTGGAAGCGTTTAACATTGACAATCTATAACCCATAGTCTACCATTTCTATCACGTTTTTTTACTGGTTTCACGCATTTATACCTGTACAGCTAGCAATCATTTACTGAAGGCATGCTGACGTGTTATTTAAACTACTGGTACCGTACCAAGGCTGCAACAGGTGAAAACTAAATTATTTAGTAAATACTGAAATAGGCCTACGAACAAAAATGTTTGCCATCCTGCCATGAGGCAGGATAAGTTGTACGGTACCGGTATACAAAAAAGATGAATATCTCCTACCTATAATGGTACAATACCGGTCTCCTTAAAAAACATGACTGAATACGAGTGAGAGATTTATTCTGTCAACCAGAATACAAGCATTGTATCAATAAAAATTATATACAAAACACACAGTTATTCGGTATAGACTGGGGAGCGATACGACCATCACAGTCAGCTGCCCCCCCCCCCCCCAAATTTTTACATCACTTTTCATTTTGCGCGTAGGATGGGTTTTCAATGAATAAGGTCTATTGTGTACAACGTAACTCGCGGTTGCGTCTTTTTACGTCAAAATAAAAACATTACGACACTGAAATGCCACGGCGATATGTGGACAATTTTAGTATAATTTTATTTCATACAATGAAAATACAAATAAGAAATAAGGTATACCAGTAATTCAAAAATAACAATTCACCGCCTCGAAATCCATGCTGAACAGTCGCCGCGATTACGCCACTAGTTAAAAGAGCCGACTTTTTCGACGAAAAACGATTTTTCTCTTTTGCAAAGTAATCAATCTATGACTGATACTGCCATATTCAAAATGTCTTGCTTTATCTATTTAATTGTCTTCAATTTAAACTGCGGTTGTGTCGACAAACAAGAGTCACTCTAAAACACCACGGCAATCCGCGGACATGAAAATATGTGGTAAACTGCCCGATTATATATTGTTTTGATCCTATCTCGCTATTTTGCGAATTCGACAATTTTGAGAAGTACTTGTAACACTGACTCCGCTCAATCGCAATGGTGCCACTCCCATGATTTTCCAAGATAAAACCTTTCGAAAAATCCGTAAATCTACTGTAAATTCTCACGGAGTAAAATTTATTTCAGTATATGCAATGAGAATTGATCGAATATACTTTAGATCAATTATCTTATAATACATATCATCACAACCCCGCGCGTTCCCGACCTTGTATAATGTTAACACGAAAATTTTCGACGGCAATTTAAAGTAATGGATAAAAAAGCAAATCATCTCGCTCACAATTAACCGTGTTTCGATTTTAGTGACGATATGTTTAACGCCGACCAAACATGTGCCGTAGGCACACAAAATTTTGCGATTTTCAATGCCCAGAAAAGCGTTTTCAGACTGTCGCGGGCCTATACAAAACTTATATTGTTTATGGTTTTATTTTCAGTATTTTATACTGACGCTTTCCAATCAATAAATTTAGGTCGCGGATTTACACCTTCATTTGTCTTTAAAATCTCGCCGCCGATGAACGTATAAGAACTCTCACCGGATTCACAATTCCGTGCGAGTACAAAAATAGGGGCAATTAGCATCGTTATCTGGCATACATTTGTTGAAAATTTGCGATTCACAGAGAATAAAATAACACGTCACTATGATGAAAACAATCGGCGATTTTAGCAAAAGGCAATTGTTCGCGTTATTGGCGACTTTTTCAGCTTTCAAAAAAATTCAAAAGTCTGCGCTGACTGAACTCAATACCCTTATGTCCAATCCAACTTACTTCTCCCAACACTACTCTTAATGAATATTTCGATTTAAACATTATTCGTGGATCTGATCCACCCAGGCATACCATCATTAACAAATACCCTCACAGACTTGACACATTCTGAACACAAAAGAATCTCTTTGATTACGGGACCAATTGCTGTGAAATTTTCAGTGGATTAAGATTGCAGCCTAGTTGTCACTGGAAGTCACTTTGCCAACAAATCATGGTCATCATATTTTCAATCGAGACCAAATCTGGTGTATTCCTCCTCAGTACGTGGGAAACCTGGTGTTGCATGTTCTCCACCCTTGTGTTGTACTCTGGTTTGCAACTTGACACCGATACTCTGAGTGAGTC